TAGGGGGATACCAACGATTCTCGGGATAAAAAATCATTAGGACGTGTATCTGTAGAACTTGAAAAATGCAATAATTCAAAGAATACATTTCTGACACCCACCCGTTTCTAGCTTGAGGGCAGAAACGTGCACCTGTCCAGGTAAGAGGATCGTCGGGAGAGTCTTTTATTCCAGGAATTCTGTAAGACTCCACTCTGTCTGCCGAGATCAGGATCATCGAGGATCGTGAGTTTTGTATATATATATATATATATATATACACTATCGTCCCCGTGGGGGTCGTTTTAATGAGTTTTTCTAAAGTAGATTTTTGTTTACTTCCCGCATACATATATTTATATATATATATAGTAAAAGAACTGATGATCTACTGATGCTACTTAAGATTTCAATTCAGGCTGCAGAAAATCTCCGCAAAGTCTTTATGTCAACTAATTTTCCAAGAGAATAATTTCCTTAAATGGAGAATGATATAAACAACTGACAATTATTGGAAATACATTTTGTGAATTTTAATAACAATAATTTAAATAGATATTACTTTTTGCAATATATAATAGATTAAATAATTTTTTATTGCACGGAAAGAAATTTAATGAAACTCTTGCGCCCTCTACACTGAGAAAAAAAATGTAATGTTAATAAAATAATTTGGTGGAGCACTTTTAGTTAAGATTACAAAAATTTAGTTGACATAACAGTAACGAAAGAAGCAATCAATCGAGAAATTTAGTTGGCTGTACCAAAAATTTCGTTCAAGCTTTTGCGTCTGTTAACTGAATAATTTGGTTCTCCAAACCAAACCGTCTGAATGCTCAATTGCGCATGCGCTGTTCTCGTAAATATGTCACACGTTAACCATGCTTCGCTCTTCGTGTCGTCCAGTTTTATTCAAGTGTTTTCGGGATTTTTATGTGTTTCAGAAATTCGGTAAAAAAGTGTGTGTAGTGATGCATATCGAACAGAGAGAATAAAGCTTGTTAAAAGAACGGAAGTTTTTCTCCAGCCTGTATACTTTATGAAAATAATTTACACTCACATTGTCACTAGGATTCTTAGTGTAGTGGTCAGCGTTCTTGATTTGCGTTGCGTAGTCTGAGGGTTCGATCTCCAGCAGTGTTAGGTTTTTCCGCAATAGAAATTAATTTAAGTAGACATAGGGTAATAAAAGAGGATAACAAAAGTGATAAAATTAAGTGAAAAATAAAAAATATAAGTGTGAGCCAAAAAATAATTTGGTTGAGAAAAGAACAAAATTTTTTTCATTTAACTAAATTTTTTGTTTGCTTAAAAACAATAAGTTAGTTGTGCAAAACAAAAAATTTGGTAGACCGAACAAAATGATTCAACGAAAAAATTGAGTAGCCCGAACCAAACGGATTAGTTGCACATATATCAAATAAAAAATTTGGTTTGGAGAACCAAACTTCAGTAGATGATACCAAACAGTTTCCTCAGTGTACTGATGGAGTTTCTATAAACAGCTGAATTGATGTAGTATTGACATTTTCCCTTCAGATGTTTGAAATCTTTGAATTTGTTTGTACAAGTCAATCACTGTAAAAACTGTCCGTCTTAAAAGTGCAAAAAACGTCTAGTTTTAAGACGTTTTTCCCGTCTAAGACACCAAATGTGTCTTAAAACAAGACGTTTTTTGCACTTTTAAGACGGATAGTTTTTCCAGTGATGTCAAAAAAAAAAAAATTGTTTCTGAACGCGATAAGTAAATGTGAGAGCAAATAAACTGAGAACCATACCTGAAGGCAAATGAGATTTTGTGAAATATGAATTTTTGTAAGGTAATTAGAGAGATCACCTCGGACTTTGGAAAGAACGAAAAGCATATAATAATAATAATAAAAAAAAAGAGTACCTCTATTAATAAGAGAGATGCACCAGATGACAGATCTGAATGAAAGAGGCAACATAGAATGGTTTGAAAGAGAACGAGGAGAAGCCACCTGTGCGAGTGCGGTATAAGCTGTAATTGGTGGACATGTTGACGGATGGCCACATCGCATTTCGCGGTTCCATATCTCCTCGATTTCTCGCGTTTAATTCCCGTAAAGTCGTTTCGGACTGGAGCCGGTGCGCCCAGACTCGGACTCTCGCCTATTTTTATTTCCTCTTAATTCCTCTGTCCGAGAACGCGTCCCTTCTTTTCTTCTCTTTTCTTCTTCTTCCACCATTTTTTATATTATATATATTCTTTCCATTGGGCCACACTCCATATATATAGTCCCTTGTGCATACCATTAACGTTAACAGCCCCGACGACCTCTCTCTCTCTCTCTCTCTCTCTACCTTCTGTAATTACCAGATCATGTCGAAAACTTTTGACCGTTAAAGAAGATTTGGTTCGCACGCTATCTCTTCATGGGAACTCACAACTCTTTTAATATAAATTTCTTGTCGTCCTATTATTGAATCTCTTTGACAGCAAATCAGAATATTTGTCGAATTCTTTCAATAATTTATAGATCCTTCATTCACGATTATTTAAGAATAATAAAAGAAACAATTTTTTAAAAATAAATTATACAACTTTAATCGAGAAGTAAATATAAATAGAAATGGAAATAAAAACAATGCGAGGTATTATTATACAAAACACGTTGCGACTGTTTCAGATTGAAAATCACATAAGAAAACAATTGCGAAGCATTATTTATCTTCAGAGTTCTTTTATAGAAGAGTCTCTTCCTTTTTAGAGTATATACATATATATGGTTGATGTTGGTATTCCTTGATACGCAGAGTTTCCTTTATACGCGCGTAAGAAAAGTGATTAATTACAGCTGGTGGCTCGTTGTTTTCCGAAGCGGGTCGACTAGCTCTTGGACAACAATGTCCTCCTTCTCCAACATTATCTTAAGCAGAAAGAGAAAGAGAACAGTGCATTCTCTTCTCTGTTTCATCTTCCGTCTGCCAGTCCGTCTGTGGTCTTCTAGTATCTAAGCCGAGGAGAATCGATCTCTCGCCTTGTATTGTGTCCCTTTTTGTCCGTGCCCGCCACGAAATAACTCTCAGGATCGTGCACCTTGCGCCGTGCATTCTCTGGTTCTCTTTCCTTTCTCATTTAATTCAACTTTTTTTTTAATTTTTTTTTTATTATTCCTTCTGTTGATTGACCGTTCATTCGTGCTAACTTAACGATTTGACTCGTTCATTAGGCATTTCTATATAATAACGATTCCAATTATAAAGGATTATGTCATTTATACATATGCAAAAAAAGATACATCGAATTGGTTATTTAAATTATCACACAATTCCACATGTTTGAGATGCTGAGTGAATTGTCACGTATTATAATTTTATTAATATTATTCTATCAAATAGAAAATTTGACATTTGGTGAATTGTATTTGAAATTATTAAAAAATTTATTTTTTCTATACTACTTTTTATGTAGAAAATTTTGTTTCATTTTCTCGCGTAGAATATGGTTATTGTGAACAGAGAATTTACTGAAAAACTGCGATGAAGCATTTAATTTACTCACTCAATGAAAATTTGGTCAATGAACGTAACAGAGTGCAGTTTATACATCACCCCTCAGTAAACTCATAACTAGTCCCAAGGGGCTGCTTGTGACACTTTCGTCCCCTATCTCTTTATCTTCACATCTCGAGTCACGTGTTACTCTCGTTTTTACGCGTCTATTAAAACCATTTTATAATACATCTCTGCCAAGTTTTATTAATTATCTTCTTTAATTATATAACTTCCAGTAATTAAAAAAATTTAACAAATTATATAAATCTATGCAAAGAGTTTTCTTTATCTTCATATATTTAATAGGATTTAAATTGATTTTATAAAAGGAAACAATAAAAAATAAAAGAAATTTCACTAATAATTAAAAAAACTGTAAAATTAGAAGTTACTGAATCATTTAGTGAAATTTTCGCTGAAAATCAGTCATAGTACATATATCACTGATTTCTAGTGAAAATTTCACTAAATGATATTCAGTAACCGGTGTCTAGCTATATTCACCACCCATCAGTGGGCAAAAAACCATGTTCGTTCTTAAAACGTTTCATGTCAGCCAAAAAATGTTCCAGAACATTATTCGGCAGACATGAAACGTTTTAAAAACGTTCAAATTAATCGGCAAAAAGAGACCTTTAATTATCGCAGTATAAAAACGGCACTGAACATGAAAATGGTAAACATTGATTTTAAAATACTTTTTTCTCGAAATACTGACACTTTTTACCTAATCCTAAATCCGAAAAATTGTAGTAATCCATACAAAAACGCGATTAAAAAAGGACAAGTAGAAAACTAATATAATGACTGCTTTATTACGTCCTGCAGCCGTCAGGTGGCAGAAGCATGCAGGGAGCACAATGTCGCAGCTGTCAGTATATTACTTTCCTACTTTTCGTTTTTAATCCCATTTTTGTATGAATTCGCACAATCTTTCGGATTTAGGAAATTTATAAGATAAGAATCCTTTGAATTTGACCGATTTTGAAAAAAATGTCCGTGTTTCGAGAAAAAAGTATTTTAAAATCAATGTTTACCATTTTCACGTTCACTGCCGTTTTTATAGGGCGATAATTAAAGGTCTCTTTTTTCCAAAGAATTTCAATTCGTCACTCTTAAATAAAATTTGGTTTAATAAAAGTTTCATTTAATAGTAATAATTCTAAGATGTAAAATAAAACTAGCAGGGTCTGTATTCATTACGCGGACAGAGAATTTTGATCGTAGCAACGTCTTTTTGAACTAATTAAAATATATTTTATAAGATACATACATACTTGATTACTTGATTATTATCAAATAAATATTTACTTAAACCAAATAATTTTTATTTGAATTAAATAAATTGTATTTGAACCAATAATTTTTGTATTTGAAACAAATACCATTTAATTGATTCAAAGAATAATAATAATAATTAATTATGAGTAAGACGTTTTCACGTCAAAAAATATAACTAAATTTTTTGTAATAAAATTTTTCCAATAAATTAAAATATTTACCTTAATAAGGAACTTTCAGCTTCAAGGAGATTCTTTCAAACTAAATAGCCCTCGGAGATCCCTATACTTTCCAAGTTAAATTTCCATTAAGAAAATGTGAGAAATAACCGTAAAAATAGACCGAGTTCTAAAAAGTCTGAATATGAAGAATTCTGTGTCCTTCAAGATCCTTTTTTACTTTTGCCCTTATCTTTGAAATATATACGTGACACCACAAGCCATCGAGGATAGAATCTGCAAAAAGAAAAATTAAAATACTGTCAGCGCTGTACTAACATGTAGTTAAATCTTTGACTGGTCGATAATATAGAAAGTTATAAAAAATTCATTTCCAAATTTGACAAAAATAAGTGCGGCATCGAGACTAAACCTAAAGTAATCGAATAACACAAAAATCTTGAAAATATGACTTATAGTTTTTTTTTCTGACTGACTCCCTAGAGTCACAAGCCCCAAAAAGGCATAAAAATATGAACGCAAACATTAGTCAATGTACATTCCGCATATAAAAATTGTATATTTAAGTTTTTGGGATGGCTTATTACGAATTTGAGATTAAATTTGAAAAATTCAAAATGTTGAAAGGAATTTAAAAAAATTGTTTGATTTTTATGGAACTTAGAGGTCGTTTTCATCGCGAAGGGTAAAGTAGGGAACGTATAAATTAAGGTGGATAAAGTAGTAGGTTAAATTCGCGTCTGCGTAGAATACTCAAAAATGCAATTGATACCCGTGCAGAAATTGCACTTTTCATCCCGATTACCGACCTGGCCCCGATCCGATTTCCTGTTCAGGATCCGGGTTAGTAAATTACTATGGGCCCGACAAGGGCCAGGCCTGGTTGTCATTTTTAAAATTTAAAAAAAAACTAGTAAAAATACATACATTTATTATAACTTATGAATAAGTAAAATGTTACTAACAATTAGTAAAATTTAACTAATTCTAAATCAAAAAGTGAGTCCCTCTTAAATTTTACGAATTGTTAGTAAAATTTTACTAATTTATAAGCTTTTTGCCATAAGCCATAAGCCACTAATTTAAATTAGTAAACATTTTTACTAATTGAGATTTAGAGAGTAAACGAAACAATTATTCAAATAATTTTTTTCAACTTATATTTCCTTTTCATTTTATAAGGTGTTTTTTTAAATGCAGATTCATAAAATAAAATAATATTGATTAATTCTATTGTTTTATTTATCAATTAGAGAAAAATAATTATAATTTATTGAAAATTACAATTACTATAAGATCGGGCAAATTACCATGACCCTGGTCGGGTCCCGACCAGGATTTCAGAACGGGCAAATTGGCATGGCCCCGATCGGGTTCCCTGTTTCATTTCCATCGGGGCCAGATCAGATTGACAGATCTGGCCCTGATCGTGCCTGGTCTGGGCCAACCGGGGCCCGGTCAAATTTTCTGCACGCCGGGTATCTTCTTTTTCGTCCGTTCTGCGCGGACGCGAATTTATTTCACTTCGTTTATCTATCTTTAATTTATTCATTTCTTACATTTAAATTTAACTTTACGTATATTTCGAACCGCAATAAAAAATTATGTAACTAATAATTTTTATAGGAAATATTGATATGCGTATCCTTCAAATATGATATTATATATTTTTCTTATGTATACGAAAATAAATCTTTTTAGACAAAAAATATATCTTTGCACTCACACAATTGAAATTGTAATAAGTGTACATTACTCAGATTTTTCTTTATATGTTTGCTCGAGTAATTTAATCGGAGAATATCAAATTCATATAGGCGACTGCCACGGCATTACCATAAATAATGCAAACAATCAAGCGTCAGCCACCCTCTTCAATGTGTATATATATATGGAATACGGCAAATTCGCACCAAGGACAAAGACGACCCCATTCCGGACCTTGATGTGCGGTAAATCATCACCCTGTACACAGAGATGCGGTATCTCTAAGTTTAGACTTATGACGCTGATACAGTCTCACGCGTATGTTTCTCCTCTCTGGCAGTTTGATAATGGAAATACTACGTGCGCTTATGTTCCATGCTCGATGAGTCCTCTTCTCTCTACAATATATAGTATAATATGGCGTGCGCATAGATGATCGGATCCAGGAAGTCTGCGTAAACCGGAATCCGGTTGGGGTGCGTGAGAGAGAGAGAGAGAGCGAAATGATGGTGCCAGAGGGATGTTGATGGTGTTATTATTGTTGTTATCACTGGGCGTGGATCAACTCCCTAACACCAATATCAACACGAGTATTCAATTTTACCGATTCTGTACTGAACGGGAAACTATCGGATACTATTACGAAGTTCATTGATACATGACACAAAGAACATATATATGTGTTTTATCCGCAATTTCTATCGTGGTTTTATATTTATGAAATTTACCATTTTTATTGAAAAAAATCACTGTATAGATGACAAAAATGAACGTTATATATAAATAAAAATATATATAATTAAGAGTGAAAAGTATCAATTTAGATTGTAACTTTCTTGTATAAATTTTTTTCTGTAAACTTTTCAATGTTATTTGTCCAACGACTCGTCTCAATATATCTGCAAAGTTCGCTGACGCCTAACTAAAAGGGCGACTTTTTTTTACCAATGAATGACGAAGGTCTCTCTTGAGCCAATGCGTATCCGCAGACGCTGGGCATAAATATTGCATGCTGCCGGAGACATATTTATTGGCAACTCTATACTCTACCGCTAAAACATGACTACCTATACCCACATTCTACCCCGCTAATGTGTATGAATAAAGTATTTCGTGTTCCCAGTGAGAGTCTTTTTACGCAACACTCTCATCTCGATATATGCAATAATTTTGCTGCCGATTGTTTTTTTTAGAATTATATACATGAAAAATGACAAGATATTGCCAATATTTTCGAATCAATTAACTTTTTTTTACTATAAATAATTCCTATTTTCTTTGCATAATTTTTGTTTTAAATCATTAACAATAAATAATTGTATATATATATATACTTTTTAGTTTCATTATATGAAAAAAGAAAACATTTTTAATTACATTTATACATTTTTCAATTTTTTTTATAAAATTAGATTAAATAAGCTAGATTATAGAATATAAACTATACGAAGAGCATGAAGCCATTTAAAATTGATTGCATAGGAAATAATTGAAAAGAGAGCTAATTGGTAATTATTTGTCGCTATACACCGAAGTCGCGGTAAATCAGACTGGCGTCGTTGGTGGTTCGAATAAAAAGCAGTGTCGCTTCGTTTGGTCGACAATTGCGATGAGAAAAACGAATGTACTCTGAAAACTTTGGACATCGATTAACTTGAACGATTAATCGGTCCCGGGTCCACAATTCACAAACCAGAAGCTGCTTGTATACATCGTATCTCAAAGTACAAACATATAGATATATGCACACACACATATATATATATATATATATATATATATATATATATATATATATATATATATATATAGAGATTTCATTTCTTTTTCTCTAGATGACTAACATCCCAATTAACTGGTGAAATAGAATCCACCGCTCGTCGATCAAAACATTAGAGATATTGTCGAAAGTAACCCGATCTGCCGAGTTGCTTGACGATGAGGCAGAGGGAGGACTTCTAAGATAAATAAGGAGAGTCTTCCTGAAAGAATTAAGGAGCGGCAGAAAAGCCTTACTCTATATAACAGCATCAGTAAGACTCCTTTGATTAACTTCGCTTCGTAAACTTTTTTTTTTCCTCTTACTATCCAACCGCTTAAAGATATATCAAAATGCTACTGTATAAGATATTCTATAATTATAATAATATAAGATAATCTATATCTACACAATTCATTAGTTAAAATTTTAATTTAAAAAAATTTCATTAGATATATAGAATTACATTGAATAGAATTTCTTTTTAGCCGAATTTTCATTTTTCGCAATAGCAATTGATGTAATTTCTTATTAAACAAATTTTTACGACAGAATTTCTAGATCGCTGAATTTTTAATAGAACGTGGCTACAGCTTACTGACTCATTTTTGTTGCACTTCATAAATTGAGTTGGAATTTTGAATTCAGGTTTTTTCTGTGCAACAGAAGTTTTTGTGATTTTAATTTTTAGAGAGAGCCATTGACATTTTTAAAATCGTCTATAATAAGAAATTATCAAGATAATTATGATTGGTTAATGTTTTAAATTCGCTCCGAAATCGTTTTGTCGGTTGTTTGTTCGTTTATTCATTTATTTATAACTAAAAATTCTATTATTTAAAAATTGGGCTAAAAAGGAAATTATAACTAATGAATTTTTTGGGGTAATCATGCGCCCGCTATTTCTATATTGTATACAAAAAGTGTTACAGATTTTTTTAGGTATAGATTTTATAATCCTTTCTATAATTTTGTTGTACGCTATTAAATATAGGTATTAAGCAAAATTTTGTTTAATTTATTGTTGCACAAGAATACGAGATATACGAGTAGAATCAACTAAACAGAATCGTTAATTTTGAATTATAACTAAACAGATAGTGCCATTTGCTATAATTTTTTCAGATATACATATCCAACAGTAGGCGCTGTATATGATGTATTCCAGGGAATCCAACAATTTTTACAATATTTTTGGAATTTTTCGAAAATTTTTGAATTTTGAATTTTTTAAAAATTTCGAAAATATTGTAAAAATTGTTTCCTCATTATCGGGCTAGGCTTAAAAGTTTCGTAAAAAGAAGTAGTTTTTTGGAAAATTTTTTTGAAAAAATCGATCAGTACGTCAAATGAGAAAAATGACTTTTTATAATTAAAACTCAAAAATTTGATAGTAATATCGTTGAAAAAAAAATTTCGAATTTTTTTTTTGAAAAGTACATTTAAAAACACACATTTTGAAAAAAAGACTTTTAAAATTGATGCATTTTTAAGGAAGTTATGAGCATTCAAAAATTAAAAGTCATGAAAATTCTCCAATTTTCAAAATTCCATAGCTCGAAAACGGCTCGCTAAAATAATTTGAAAAAATTCATGGAAGCTAGTCTCAATTACACGGAAAAAAATCAATAGTTGCCACAGCCATACCTTTGGTTGTCTCAACCATATTATATTAAAAAATACGTCCCAACCATACCTCCGGTAGCTCCAGCCATATTAAATAGCTATCTTTAAATTGTTAGCACAACTAGAATATATGGCTTTGGGAACCATATATTTGGAAAACATACAAATGCTAATATGGATGTGA